ACAGATGGTAGGACCCCCACATTCAGAGTAATTGATGAATAGTGTCAAGGCAGTGAACTCAAGCCCACTTTGTAGATAAGCAGGGGCCAGTTGCATAAACATAGTCACCATGTTAAGACTGTCTTAAGAACTAGTTAACCAAGTGGTTATCAGTCTTACTTTTCAGTTTCAAATTAGATCAATCTATGTGTTTATGTAACTGACTTTTAAAAATGATGACCAGTCTTGCAGAAAAAATATCAGATGTCTAACATTTTTAGTTAGACATTGTTGGGGTCAAAACTCTGATTAAACTTCACTGTCAAGGCTTCAGTTTAAGATGTACAATCGAAAATTCAAAAGTTTCTGGTTCGGTCTCTTTGAGACTTTGTAGTTACGCAGCCCTTATTTTTTAAACACAGGAGCCGTGTTATTTTAGTGCAGACAGACATCGGCATGCTACATTAGTTGTGATTATTCTGTTCTCTGAAACCTACACTCTAATTCTTACTTCATGGTTTTTTTTTTTATTCCTCTATTGTTGTTTTCAATGTTTCAGTCTGACCACTCATTTTCGTCCAGCTCAGAGTCTTCATCAGATTCGCTGTACTCCACGGCGATGCGACGGGATAATATAGTGGCCACATCGTTCCCAACTGGCTCCTTCTTCGCTTCCTGCTCCCGCTGTTCCTGCACCTTACGCAGCTGGATCCCTATGAGAAAAAAAAACAAAACAAAACAAAAGTGAGAACCAGAGACAAAAAAAAACCCTCAAGAACTGATAAGAAACACGGCTCAGGCCATATTTCACCCCAAAATAAAAATAATAAAAAATTACTGTTCAAAAGTTTGGTGTCAGTAAGATTTTTAAACATTTTTTTTTTAAAGAAGTCTTTTATGCTCACCAAAGCTGCATTTATTGGATCAAAACAGTAATATAATGAACTATTATTGTGATTTAAAACAACTGTCTTCTATTTGAAGTAATTTTAAAATGTAATTTATTCTGTTCATAAAAACTGAATTTTTAGCTGCCATTACCTTCACAAATCATTCCAATATGCTGATTTGGTACTCAAGAAACATTTCTTATTATTATCAATGTTGAAAACAGATGTGCTGCTTAATGTTTTTGTGGAAACTGACTTTTTCAGGATTCTTTGATATAATAGAAAGACCAAAAGAGCAACATTTATTTGAAATATAAATCTTTTGTAACATTATAAATGTCTTAACTGTCACTTTTTTTTAAATCAATTTAATGCACCCTTTCTGAAAAAAGTATAAATGTCTTCTTCTCACAAATAAATAAATAACATAAAAAAAAAAAAAACTATGGACTCCAAACAATTTTTCAAGAATTAATATAATATAACATAATACAATAGTCTTTTATATGATAAGAATTCATATAATATAAGAGAACATTAAGAGTTTTTACATTATTTTCATAACGCCACCACTTCTTATCATAATGCAAAAATAAATAAATAAAGTAAAGTACATTGTAGTCACCATGTGACATCATAACACCCAAACCCCACTTAATAAGTGATCTCTTGACCTCGTCTGATGGCCGCCAGCAGGTCGCTGCGTGCATCGCTCATTGGGATGAGAGGTATCTGGCCCTTCCTGGGGACAACTGGTGCTTCCGCAGGGACAGTGGGCATGGTGTGTGAGTGAGAGTGCGGGTGGGGGTGTGTGGGCAGACCAGGTGGAGGTGGAGGGGGGGCTGTGGGAGGATGATGGGTTGGGGAAGGGGTGTAGGAAGCAGGGAGGGCAGGGGTTGGAGGAGAAACGTTGTAGGTCTGGGAAAGAGATGGCATAGCACTGGCCGGGGCAGAGGAGGGGCCAGTGGGACTGTCAAAGGCAGTCTGGGCGGAAGGAATGATAGGAGGAGGTGGAGGAGGAGCAGGAGGTATGAAATACTCTCGATGCTGAGACTGCTGACCACTGAGATACAAACAGAGAAAAGAAATTAATCAAACACATTTACTGCACTCAGGAGATGAGCTCTAAGCCTAGAGCTCACTACAAGATGGTAACTCTTTGGCCTTTTATGTTTTAAATTTGAGCATGTGTCATGCCAAAACAACAACAACAACAACATAAACCTTCATTTTATTTTGATGTCAAAAATCTACTCTCGCATACATATTGTTATTGCTGACTAAAAGTAAAACTATTAAAAACTGTTATTGTGAATTGAAATAAAGCTGAATTAATAAAATAAATCTGATGAAACCTAAAAAAAAAAAAAAAATGGAAAAAAACTAAAATAAATTTTTTTATTTCAGGTCCTAAAATTACTAAAACAAATCAAAATAAATTAAAGATAGCTAATAAAACGGACAAAAGCATGTAACAAAATTACTACAATTTATTCCAAAATTAAAATGAAGATAAATCTAGAAAGCTAATTCAAAATATTAATAAATACTATAATAGTATATAAACAAAACTAAAATTATGTGTGAGTGAGTTTGTGTTAACTGATAGATAGTGATAAAAGATAATTTTACACATGATCATATATGCAGCGTTTCCCCTGCCATTATTTTAGGGGGGCGGCCCGCCCCCCCAACGGCACCCCCCGCCCCCCTTGAAAGTCAAGTTAATTTTATTTAATTGGAAACACTGTATATGTGTTTGTTTGTAGGTTATTTAGACTCTGATGAATGAAAACCGAGCATTTAGACCCGGGTAGTACAACCCCTAGGGGTTCATTATGGAACTGCAGGTGGTTCATGAGACAGAGCAAGAGAAACACAAAAGCAAACTGAATAAAATACAATATGAAGTAAAATGAAGTAAAAAAACAGCAACCTCATCTTACATTTCATTAAATTTATTATTCATTATATTTACTGAATGGTTAGAACGTTTATTTGAAATTTGTGGGTATTTCATGTAAATAATGTAAATTATTAGAAAACCCTGCTTTACACCCTTTATATTACAGATATTTACTGAATTAAGAGAAGCTAAAGAATAACAGACCTGTAGTCTTTAGCCTGCAGGGGACGTGGCCCGTTGAGAGCAGGGTCTGTGACTGGTTGTCCATGGGACGTCTGAACCCTGCCAATGGTCTGTCTCCCAGGTGGAGCGGAGGAGGAAGCGGCCGGCCGATACACACGGTCCAGGGACTGGGTCTGGACATGAGAGGGTGCCATGAGGTGATCTTTGCCATTGGCAGCGGAGTAGGCGCTGACCACGGCCATCTGCTGAGCCGGGTGACTGGGGCTGCCTGGGTAAGAGTGCTCACCCATGTCTGAGGTAACCGACCTGATGATGGAAAAGAGACAGAGAGTGATAGACAAATAAGAGAGAAGGGGAAAAGGAAATGAAGAGAGAAATATTAAATGCAAATATCTTTATGGGTTCTTGAGCTTTAAAATTAATATTTTGGATTCCACGGATCAGCTTTATTGGAAGTGCCTGTGCTGCATGCTGTTTATTAAAAACATAATAATGTTGACTGTTGATTGTGCCCCTCAGTGGATTTCCAAAGTCTTCAAGGCAAACCACTGCACCAGAATAAATGTTAAAAGACGGTGTTTTGAAAGCATATGCATAGACTCTTATGCTCCAAGACTGCATTTATTGTATTTTTAAAAAGAGAGCAATATTTGGAAATATAAATACAATTCTAAAATATTTTCAAATGTAATTTATTCCAGTGATGGGAAAGCAGAATTTTCAGCAGCCATTACTCCAGTTTTCAGTGTCACATGATCCTTCAAAAATTATTCTAATAAGTTAACATTATTTGTTCATTCTAATATGTAACCAATGTAAACATTCTTCCCTCCAATAAAACAATGAACAGCACCATTCACCTACAGTACATACTGCATATTTTCAACATATATCTAAAACTCTGTATCTAAAACATTATGAATCAGAGTCGATTTATTAAAAGAGACAGTTTGAACTGATTCACCGAATGAATCAAACTTACCAACCAATTTTTAAACTTAGATTTTTAAATGTTTTTGTACATTACTCTGCTGTTTTATTTGCTTAATTGTGCGACAAAGAACGACCATGTCTAATGACAGAACTTTTAGGAAAATTAATAACCACATAAAAAGCACATTAAAATCATCACAATATGCACAATGTAAAATAATTTCCCCAATGAAATAATTGTTTAACCTGATTATCAAAAGTTAAAAAATAATAATAAAAACTAATAAATAAATAGAACAGTATACAGTTGTGATGCTTTAGATTGCTCTGGTATGACTATAAAACACAAACAGACAGCTCCAAGTGTTGGCAACTCAAAGTGCCAACAGATGGCAGTAGAGAGCTATGCTAAACCGCAGCCCACTTGTATTGCCATGGAAAAAAAGTCAGCAAAAGAGACGCCCAACCTGTTGTCTGGTGAAAGTGAGCCCTCAGAGGACATGCCATGGTACGGAGAAGGCGTGAAGCGGGCGTCTGGGCGGAACTCCTTATCATACGCCATTACGTTCCACTCCTGCCTACGATTCCGAGCCTTACGAACCTTTTTCACCTCACGACTGGGGTCCTCCACTTGTTTCTGCTGCTCCTGAGTGAGTGAGTGAGAGAGAGAGAGAGAGAGAGAGAGAATGAGAGTGAGTGAGAAAGAAAGCCTAGTGTTTCAGCAAGCCCAGGGTTTCATCACATTTGGTGAAAGAGTTTTAGACTGTAAACTAAAAGAGCAAAGTCACACACACAGATTGTTGTGTCCACATTTTTTACTGAAAAGTGCTGTGAAGAAAGTTTTCTACATAATTCAGGGAATGCATTAAACACACACACACACACACTCAGTAGAAAAGCTAGTGAAGAGACTAGGGAAAGAAAGTGAATGCACAAACTGGAGTCAGCAAAGTGAGGGGCTGACAGATGAATAGAAGGACTGACAGAAATGCAGGTCTCTTACAGAGGATAGGAGGGGGCTTCTGGGAAGGGCCTGCCTGGAGTGGGACTTAGTCTGGTCAGAGTGAGTCTGGCCTGAGCCGCTGGTCTAGAGAGAAGGGGCAAAGTCTGGGGGAGTTAGAGCTCTCATTCATGCACACACAAAGACACTTCCACTGATGTGTTTCCTTCTGCTTTCTTCTTTGCATATAAACACATAAGCTTCTGGTTTGTCAAGAGGAAATGAATCTGAGAAATGTTTTTTACAGGGGGGCCCAAATGTGCTTAGCATTTTTCCAGCACTTGTTACAGGGGTCATATGATGCGATTTCAATTTTTCCTTTCTCTTTGGAGTGTTACAAGCTCTTGGTGCATAAAGAAGATCTGTAAAGTTGCAAAGACTAAAGTCTTAAAGTTAAAGTCAATCATAACCATGTAATGTACCACGTACAACACTTATTTTGGTATCAATTTGGTACCGACGTTCCAGCATTTTTGACATCCTTAAAGCAGTATGTGATTGTAGAAAGAACAGACAGTGTGAAACAGGACCATAAAGTGCACACAAAAACATATTTATGCAATAGACACACACCTTCTGTCTCCTCTTTTCTTTTCTCTTGTCCTCTGTGGCTTGCAGCATTTTCTCCCTCCAGAGGTAAAAGAAGTAGGAGGGGTCTGTGTAGAACTTCAGTGCGTCCTTCTTATCATCTCTATAAAAAGAAAGAAAGACATATGATGGTTGCTACAATAGCATTTTCTCTGTGTAGAGATGTATTGAAGCATTTGGGTAGAAACTGAAAAAAACAACTTGTTAAAATGAACTGGGCTTTCAGACATACTTGAGAGTGAGAATATTCTAGGAGAGTGCACTTGATATGCAGCAAGTGATTTATCATTTTGTCACACTACACCAGAGATGCACAAACCAGGGAACGTGGAAATAGGAAATAAAACATGCAATTGCAGCATTTATTCATTTCTAATTTATCTTGTTTAAAAAAAATGTTTGGCATTGAAATGTAGATGATATAAGTTAATTACATTTTTTTTTTAATTTAACATTTTAATATAATATAGTTTAGCAACATTTACTTTCAGTCCACAGCCAAGTTTGATTTTTGGCCATTCATAGTAAAACGTTTGGGAACCTCTGCACTAGGGATATGCCGGTATCAAATTTTCATGTTGCGGTTAATTGCTAATGCTTTTATTACGGTATACGACTACATCATTATTTACCTTAGAATTTGTTTGTTGCTGGAAAAGTTACACTATTTTAAAACCTGCTTAGCTGAAATTATGCTACAGAAGAAAAGTAAAAGATGCAATGTTGCTAATGTTATTTGACATGAGTTAATAATGCACAGATTGGAGTGCGGATAATGATGACCTCACCTGTAAGGGCTGAGAATATTGAGAGGGGGAGGTTTGTCTCCACGGTGGTAGAGCTCCAGGACAGGATTTGGGATTGAGTTTCTGGAAACCACCTGTTGGTCCTGAATGGTGGAGCTCTTGAAGGCCTTCCTCATGTTGATATCTTGCAGAGAGACTGAAGATGGGGGATAGAGGAAGAGTTCAGATTTATGCTTTCATTTCATTATTGAGATTGCAAAAATACCATTCTTAATTTGTATATTTGTCATTTTTTAGTTCAAAGATCTAAACATTCGTAGTACAAGATATTTAGCAGAGAAGAAAAAGAGCATAGGATATTAAAACTTTAGAGAATGGAGGATCAATGAAACAAGACGAAATAGACTTATATGAAGGTAACGGCCATTACCCAATAATACTGATAAATAAATCTGAGATCAGTTTAATATTTACTATATGGTGATTAAAAGTCTGCTTTGACTAAGACACACTGTCAACTGATTAGCATAAAGTGTAAAGGGCCTTAAAGTAAAGCTGTGTGAAATCCCTGCTTAAGTCTCTTATGTGTTTGCTGAAAGAAAGGATGAAGCTGTCCAGGAGACAGCAGATGGTCATTCTCTTATTCACACACTCTGCTTCTCACCCTGGACAATCAGGAATGGCACAGACATATGATAGATCAGCTGCGCATTTACAGTACGAGCAACATCATTGCTTTGCCTGCCCTAGAGCATGTGGAGCTCCAGCCTCACAATTACATGTTTGTTTTTTCCAGTAGACTGAGCTGTTCGGCAGTGAATTGAGATGTTGTGAATATTGCCTGCACAAATCAAAACCAAGGCAAGGATCTATACACAGAGCAACCCTCTACGCACACCTTGGCAATATAATCGCCATTGGCTAGTAAATTTTTTTGTTTACTCGCCAGACTGATATACTATTTTACACACACACACGTTTACTTAGCTATCTAAATGGGGACATTACATATTTTTATATACAGATATATACTTTTTAACCTAAACCCACCCCTAAGTCGCATATGCGAGTGATTTACTCGCAATGTAGAGGGTTGCAGAGTATGAGATGCTGAAAAAGCGATTAATCTCAACCCCTTATTAACACACAATTTAAAACTTGGGACATCATGGTCAGTCAAAAGTTATGTGATAACCAATGACAACTGTTTAAAATGGGCATGCTACAATTGGTGTGTGACAGGATTACACACACACACAAACACACACACACACTTACAAATATATAATAATTCATATTAAAATCTAATATACAATTAAATGTAAATATCCACAAATTTCATCAAAAGAAAAAAACTATGACTAAAAAAGAAGTTGTATAAAAATGAACAGTCAGTTTTTCACAGAAAGCAGTGCACAAGTGGAAAAGAGCTGTTCAGATATTCCGTAACATCAGTCAAGCAAGTGATGTCATACAATGATCTATGACACTGTGTGGAAATTAATGTCTTAACTGTGGACCAATGCTAAATTATTTATTAAGTTCTTCTACATAAGTCTAGGGGGTTGTCTGTTACTGTGGGGGCGGGGCTTGTTTTGATGTAAAGAATGATGGACTGCCTCAATCGCCCTCTAATTATGTATAACACAGGAGAACACTCACAATATTAAAGCACTGGCTATGCCTCAGGGGCCACTGTACTGCTTTATTGAACATTAATAATTCAAGATTCAGCATACTAGCTGATCTGATGGCAGGAACGGGGTATATAAGGTCAAACCTGGGACAACTTATAAAACAAGATGGTTCTGCTTTTCAAAATATGTACTATGAGCTTTGAACTACAATGCAATGCTACAGTAATGGAAGAGAAAAGGGTAACACTTTAGAATAGGGAACACTTATTCACTATTAACTACGGAAAAGCCCTCTCCTTGTCCATTTGTTCAAATACCAACATACATTCAGTCTAAAACAGTTATGCAGCTCACCCATTTAATCCTACACCTAATCTCTGCCTTGACTATTAAAGGGGTCATATGATGCGATTTCAATTTTTCCTTTCTCTTTGAAGTGTTACAAGCTCTTGGTGCATAAAGAAGATCTGTAAAGTTGCAAAGACTAAAGTCTCAAATCCAAAGAGATATTCTTTATAAAAGTT